CGCTGCTTAAGAGTCTCCAAACCGAACTGAGATTTCCACACATCCCACCTACACATAGAAATCCCAGAGATAGCTTGTTAGAATGGAATGCGCTCACTCCCCTCTCTCTCTCTCTCCCTGGTAGGACACATCCTGCTTACCTAATTCTGGAAAGTATTAGGCACAGGTTGGCGAGAGCCAAGGCTTGGGGGGAGCCCAGAGTGTGCGTTGGGGTAACAGCTGGAGTCTAACTGGCTACGCAGCAATCAGAGCGAAGAGTTCTTTCATTAGTCACCCTCACTTCCAGGAACCAGAGATAATAATAATAATAATCCTAAAACCAGGTAAAATCACACAGCTTGCTATTGCGAGCACTGTCCGGCTAGCTTTTCCGCTGCTTGTCCAGGTACCTATTAGGGTTTTGGCTTGCAGGGTTAACAAGAGCCGAGTGAGATGATTCCCTGCCCTTCCATGTTCTGCCGATGAGCCTGGCTGCCTGTGCACAAGCGAGAGGTCCTGGGTTCGATTCCCGGGCAGGGCGAAACGTTGGGCAAGTTTCCTAATTCCACACGCCTCTGTTCTCTAGCAGTAAGTAGGAACCCGGTTATTAGTCGATCGGTGGATCATTTTTCCGGGGGTAATATTCCCTTCAAAAAAAATTACTCAATCACTCAATCCACGACTGTTAGTGGGACACGACTGTGCGCAAGTGGTTTCACCCACAAAATACAATTTACTTTACATTATATTCTGTGATGCACTTTGAGACGTCTCAAAGACATGATAAGGTTCAATATCAAGTGCAAGGATTACTATATTATTATTATCTTGCTCAGTACTTAAGTGTCTATTACAGCTGGGGCAATGCTGACTATCTGTAATATGTTGCATTGAGGAAGAAACCTAATCCGATGAGTAAACTGAGATGCTTCTCTTCTGGAAACACATAGTTCCTTTGCAAACCCCAAGCTGTGTGTTGTATTGTGGATATGTTTTTTCTCCACACAACAAAAGCATGACAGTTCCTTTGATGTCGGTAATAAAAATACTAACACCCACAATGTAAACAGAGTTAAGAGCTAATCACTAAGCTACGGGTCTCCACGTAGCATAAAGGTTAACGTGATGGACTCGCAAGTGAGGGGACCTGGGTTCGGATTCCTGAGGGGGCGAAATCTTACTCCACATTTTTACCCAGCAATAAGTAGGAACCCGGTTGTTAGTCGATCGGCGGATCACTTTCCAGGGGTAATAATCCCTCCAATTTTTTTAAAATATCTCTCAATCCACGGCTGTTTGTGGGACGCTGCTGTGCACAATTGGCTGCAGTGTTTCACCCACAAAATACACAGTTACTCCACTTTACAGTATATTCCGTGAAGCGCCTTGAGACGTCTCAATGACGTGATAAGGCGTTGTATCAAATGGTAGGATTATCGTTATTATTATTACTTATTTTCCTGCTGTTTATGAAGAATCAGAAGAAACACCAGTCTGTGTAATGTGCCCTTCCCAATTCCCACACTTTGGAAAAGAGACTATTATTTGGATGGGGGGGGGGGGGGGGGCGGGGCAGCAGTTATGTAGCCGTCAGTAAACCAAGTAATTTTATTTGCCTTTTATCTAACATTAATTCCACAAGCCTGTGTAGCCATGGTAACGGGCAGAACAGAATTATTGTTTTTAATGGATGAGAAGTGTTTTAGCGAAGGGAAAAGAATGAAATGGCAGCTGCAACAGGGGCTGATGTGCTTATTCAGTACCTTATTGTAGTTGTTTGGTATCGGCCTGAGGCAAAGGAAAAGGAGAATAAAAATAATAATAATCCTTGCATTTGATATAGCTCCTTATCACATCTTCGAGGCGTCTCAAAGCGTTTCACAGAGTATACTGTAAAGTGCATTGACTGTGTATTTTAAAATTATTAAAATGTATTTATTTATTTGAGGGATAAAAATATTTATATTTGTTTTTTTGTATGAAATAATATTAAATGTTTTTTATTTTATAAAAACAGAGAATATTTCATTGCTCCCGGTCAGAGATATAGTCCAGCGCTGGCTTACATCTAGGAGTTAGTTAAAGAAATCTTGTTCCAAACACCCAACGAACAAGAACACAGAGGAATAACAATGTATTCCTTCCTGGAAACATTTTATGATATTTATTATACATTGTATATTTATTGTAAAATAATCAGAGCAGTGCTCAACACAGTGTAGCCATACGGTACATTGTTACCGAGAAGCTTGTTTCAACAAAAATAACTGCAAATGGCCTTTCACATCGGGAGGACATCCCGAGACACTGGACAGTCAGGGATTTGGACCCGAGCCGGGGGTTGGCATCGGGAAGGGTGAAGGGCTGGGAAGGTAGGGGTAGGAGGGTGACTGAAGGCTCGGTCGAAGAGGAGGGTCTTGAGACGGGCCTTGAAGGAACCAAGGAAGGGAGTGAGGCAAAGGGACTGTGGGATGGAGTTCCACAGCTCGGGGCCAGATAAAGACCTGACTATTCAAGGGCCTCTGGATCACAAGCTGTGAGAACACAAGGCACTGATGTGGTCAGTACGTCTGAACTCCGAGATTGCATTTTTTTGGCTACTTTATTTAAAAGTTCATTTAGTTTTATTCGAAACAATTCTAATGACTATTTCTTTGACAGGAATCTCTCTTCAATGGTGCACTACCTGAGAAGTCTCACAGCCTAATAGTTAGCGCATTCGCCTCGCAAAAGAGAGGAGGCGGGTTCGATTCCCGGGCGGGTCAGGGTAAAACCGTAGGCAAGTTTATTCAATCCACAAGCCTGTGTTTAAGTAATAACTAAGAACCCGGTTGTTGGTCGATTGGCAAATCGCTTTCCGGGAGGAATAATACTTCCGAAACAAACAAACAAACAAAAAATTGGTCACTCAATCCACGACTGTTTGTGGGACGCTGCTGTGCGCAATTGGCTGCCGCGTTTCGCCCACAAAATACAGTCGATCCACGTTACAGTATATTCCGCGAAGCGCTTTGAGACATCTCAGCGATGTGATGAGGCGCTTGCGAGGCGAGGGCTGTAACCACGACACTACAGGGCTCCAATGTTCAGCCTGTTTCGTTTTTTTTTTAAAAATAAAAATGCAGTGAGACAAGTCTCTGCTTATTGAGCGCACAGCTTCCAGGCTCCATCGTCTGTTAGAATACACTTGTTGAAAATAGATTTCCCCGAATAGATGTGTTTCAATACGATAATTGAAAAAAGAAAGAATGGGTAATACTGCATCTCTTCTTCTCTGTTTGCCATTAAATTGCTAAACCATTTTCTTTTGTTTGGGCCAAATGTAAGACTAAAGCAAACAAGGACGCTGTACAGACTCCTTAGCATCCGTACGTTACTAAGCAACACAATGCACAGCCAATGGGATTGGGACATGGATTTATTTTCAGCAATCTAAGAATTAATTTCAGGGGATTTAAGACCCACATCTATTGTTGGGAGCTGTAACAGCAAGTCACAGTTGATAACAATACCAAAATGTGCCTGTGCAGCAGAGCCCATCTTGTGAACGCTGCAGTGATGCTAAAACACGGGGACTGATGGGGTCAAAGCTGTCCTTGCATCTCCTGTTGTCCCGTAGCGAAGTGGTGAGAGCCCTCGCCTCGCAAGTGAGAGGACCCGGGTTCGAATCCTGGGCGGGGCGAAACCCTACGCAAGTTTCTTTACTCCGCACACACGCCTCTGTTTACCAGCAGTAAGTAGGAACCCGGTTGGTGGTGGATTGGCGGGTCACGTCAATCCACTACTGTCTGTGGGACGCTGCTGTGCGCAAGTGGCTGCCGTGTTTCGCCCACAAACATACAATCAATTCACTTTACTGTGTATTCTGTGAAGCGCTTTGAGACATCTCAAAGACGCGATAAGATGCCGTATCAGATGCCAGGATTATTTTTACAGTATTACTACTAATCTACTAATATTCCACTTCTATTTATTCCTTCCAGTCGGGAGTAGGATTAGCGCCAACAACAACAAGAAGAACACATTACATTTACACAGTGCCTTTCACATCGGGAGGACATCTCAAGGTGCTGGATAGTCAGGGATTTAAACCCGAGAAGGGGGTTGGGATCAGGAGGGGCGTGGAGGGCAGGGAGGGTGGGGGTAGGAGGGTGACTGAAGGCGCGGTTGAAGAGGAGGGTTTTGAGACATGCCTTGAAGGAGGTGAGGGAGGGAGGGAGGGGGAGACGGAGGGATTGTGGGATGGAGATCCAGAATGAAATAGGGATAAAAGTTACACAGACTTCCCTCTTTCTTACTCACTCACTGCCCTGGACCCAAACCAACCAAACCAAACCATCCATCACCTGTTGCAAACCGAAGCAACTGGTTCCCAACACAAACCCAATTGGAAAATCAAACCATTTGATATTCCTGATTTTTTTCTGGGGTTTCTCTTAACTCTTGTGTGTGTGTTTTTTCTATGATAAGAAATAAATAAGAGCAATGGCTTTGCTGTGTAATGATGTCAATGTGGGTGTGAGAGAGGGAGAGAGAGAGGGAGGGAGGGAGAGAAGGGAGAGACAGAGAGAGAGAGAGGGAGGGAAGGAGGGAAGGGAGAGAGAGAGAGGGAGTGAGGGAAGGGAGTGAGAGAGGGAGGGAGGGAGAGAGGGAGGGAAGGGAGTGAGAGAGGGAGGGAAAGAGGGAAGGGAGTGAGAGAGGGAGGGAAGGGAGAGAGAGAGAGGGAAGGAGGGAAGGGAGTGAGAGAGAGGGAGGGAAGGGAGAAAGAGAGAGAGAGAGGGAGGGAAGGAGGGAAGGGAGAGAGAGAGAAAGAGGGAGGGAAGGAGGGAAGGGAGTGAAAGAGAGGGAGGGAAGGGAGAAAGAGAGAGAGAGAGAGAGAAAGAAAGAGAGGGAAGGAAGGAGGGAAGGGAGTGAGAGAGAGGGAGGGAAGGGAGAAAGAGAGAGAGAGAGGGAGGGAAGGAGGGAAGGGAGTGAGAGAGAGGGAGGGAAGGGAGAAAGAGAGAGAGAGAGAGGGGGAGGGAGGGAAGAGGAGAGGAGAGGAGGAGCGAGTTGACGTTGTTGGGTTGGTTTCAGTGAGGAGCAGTGCTCAGTGTGACACAGACACACACAGAGCAGAGGAGGGGGAGAGTGTGCGGTGTGTGTGCGGTGTGTGTGTGCGGTGTGTGTGTGTGTGCGTTAACCTTGAGCGGTATTCGCAGGGAAAGCAAAGGGCGGGAAAGAGGGACCGAGAGGAGGCGATGGCTGACAGCGGCTCCGGGATGGAGGGAGAGGAGACCGTCATTCGCTTCGCCCGCAAAGGCGCTCTCAGACAGAAAAACGTTCACGAGGTGAAAGACCACAAATTCATCGCTCGTTTCTTCAAACAGCCGACATTCTGCAGCCACTGCACCGACTTCATCTGGTGAGACACCATCAGCACAGCCGCCAACCACATCACACTGTGCCTTTGCCCCCCTCTCTCTCTCTCTCTCTCTCTCTGTGCCCCCCTCACCCCCTCACCCCCTCACCCCCCGCCACCACATCTCATCTCAACTGCACGTATTCTCTCCCTTTCCCCCTCTCTCCCCCCCTTCTTACCCCCTCACCTCTGTGTCCCCCTTCTTACCCCTCCTCTAACCCTCTATCCCCCTTCTTACCCCCCTCCTCTATCCCCTTCTTGCCCCCCCCCCACCTCTGTCCCCCTTCTTACCCCTCTATCCCCCTTCTTACCCCTCCTCTACCCCTCTATCCCCCTTCCTACCCCCTCCTCTATCCCCTTCTCCACCCCTCTATCCCCTTCTTACCCCCTCCTCTATCCCCCTTCTTCCCCCCACCTCTGTCCCCCTTCTTACTCCTCTATCCCCCTTCTTACCCCCTCCTCTATCCCCCTTCTCCCCCCCCCTCTATCCCCCTTCTTCCCCCTCCCTCTATACCCTTCTTCCCTTCTCTATCCCCCTTCTTCCTCCCCCTTCTCTCCCTTCTTCCCCTCTTTGCCCCCCCCCCACTCTCTCCTATATGCCCCCCTCCTGATCTCATTGACCAGTCTCTCTCTCTCTCTCTCACTCTCTTTTTTTTAATTTTTCTCTCGAAACAGGGGCTTCGGAAAGCAAGGTTTCCAGTGTCAAGGTGGGCGACCCTCTGTCTTACACTAACAACAAACAGTGTGTGAGATGTCAGGTTTGGACAATGAATGAATGACAGTGTCTCTATCTGTGCCTTAAAATAATAATAATAACAATAATAATAATAATCCTGGCATTTGATACAGCGCCTTATCCTGTTTTCAAGGCGTCTCAAAGCACTTCACGGGATATACTGCAAAGCGAAACCCAGCAGCCAATGGCGCACAGCAGCGACCCATAAACAGTCGTGAATTATGTGAACTGTTTTTTTTTATTTTTGGGATCGATTATCACCCCCGGAAAAGAGATCTGCTAATCGACTAACAACCGGGATCCTGCTCACTGCTGGGTAAAAAGAGACGTGCGGAGTAAGGAAACTTGCCCCAGGTTTCGCCCTGACCCGGGAATCGAACCCCGGTCCTCTCGCTTGCGAGGCGAGTGCTGTAACCATTGAGCTACAGGACACCACTAAAATCACCAACACATTAGCCTTGAACCTCCTGTAGAGTTAACATCTTGATTCCCACTCCCTCTTCCCACTGGGAACACCGTGTTTTCTGCTAATAATAATTATAATAATAGTCCTGGTAATTATTCAAGACACTTAATAAACTGCTGAGGTGAAATAGACAGGAGATGAACTGATCAAGGTGCATTGACCTGCAAAGTGACATGCTGCCTGTTTACTAACTAGTCTGGTGATTCCTGATTATGACGGTTATTACAAAACACACCTATTCATTGCTATTTATTACTTTGTTTTATTGGACTTTTAAAGTCTTTCTTGTTTCCCAGATCCATCAGGTGGAAAGTCATGAGGGGGTGGGAGGGAGAGAAAGACCAGTTTCATGATGACTCTTAATGTAAATTGGTTTCAGTTTTAATAACTTTTCTCCCCAGTCTCTGTCTCTATTCCTGTACGCCTCTTAGTTTCCACATTTGTCTCTTTTTCATCTCTCTTTTGCTGTCTCTCCCTCAATTGATCAGAAGTCTCATACTCCCATCGAACTACTGTCCCTCTGTCCCATTCCACATTTACTCCTGATTTATTCTCTTAAATCTTGTCATTGTTTTTTTAAAATTTCTCTATCTGAGTGGTGCAAAACCTGTTTAAAAACTATTAACTGTGAAACAACCATCATCAAACCTGCTAGAATTTGAAGGTTTCTGCCTTTAGCTCAGTTTATAACCCACTCTCTCAAACACACACACACCCTTTCCTCTTTATAAACGGAAGCAGTGTGTGTGTGTGTGTGTGTGTGCAGGGTAAAGACAGAAGCTAACAGTTTTATATTTGACATCTGAAGAAAGCTTTGGTAAGCTGAGTTGGGGTGGGGTTTGACTAGAGGAATGCCAATAAAAGAATTCTACTTTGGAGTACCACAAACAACAACAATAATAATAATATTAATACTCCTTGTATTTGATATAGTGCCTTATCGCGTCTTCGACACGTCTCAAAGCGCTTCACGGAATATACTGTAAAGTTAATCGCTTCTATATTATTAGCAGCAACTTGCATTTATATAGCGCCGTTCACACGGTTAGTGTCTTGCAGCATTTAACAGTAACACTGTAGAGGGAGTGTCGCTACACATATACCTGTTGGAGCAGTTTTGAGCTGTGTTTTTTTTGTCCCATTTTATTTGCTTCTGTGGTAGAATCCTAAATGCCCACAGGAGGGAAAGGAGGCTGTTTGATCTATCATCCTGTGCCTGCTTTCTGAAGGAGCAATAATAATATTAATAACAATCCTTGCATTTGATATAGCGCCTTATCACGTCGTTGAGACGTCTCAAAGCGCTTCACAGAATGTACTGTAAAGTTGAGTGACTGCATTTTTTGTGGGCGAAACCGGTACAGAAGTGTCTCCCAACCAGAATGACCAAACGTTACTTTTTTTATCCATTGAAAAATCAATGCAATTATTATTATTATTTATTATTATTACTAATAAAAGTCTTCCCGGAGGGTTTGCCTGTTTGATAAGTGGAACTACTGAGTAATTGTGTAATGGTTCTTTTTTTAAAAAAAGTACGTAATATTTTGTCCCTGGAGTTCCGCAATCTATTAAAAGATTTGGAAGCGACGGAGATTTTGCTGTGTATTTCCGTGGATTGGAACCTGGCTGTTAGCACGGGCTGCTGTGTACATCATTGTACATACTGTAATTCACAGATTGACTGTGAACAGATGGCAGCGTCTCTATTTACAAAATATTGACAACTTGTTCAAAACTTCAAACTGGAATCAATTTGAAATACAGTTTGTGGATTGCCCCAGGACCATCTCGTCTCGATGCCTGGTTATTTTTATAATAAAACTGTTTGGAGATGTAGACGAGAGAAGATGAAAGGTGCAACCTTTAATGTTCTTCAGCTACTCAAGTTCAGAAAGACCAGTTACTGAGAGCAGGAAATCCTCCCGCACGGCTCCTGTAAACCCTGCAAGCCAAAGCACTAACGGGTAGGGTGGCCCACAACATTGCCCGCCTCCGCCACTGCCTCTCACCGCAGGTTGCCGAGACCTGATCCATGCTTTCATCGCGTCCCGGCTTGACTACGCCAACTCCCTGCTCGCTGGACTTCCCAACTCTTCCCTCCAGAAGCTGCAGATTATTCGGAACTCTGCAGCTCGTGTCTTCCCCCTCACCAGGCTCCGTGAACCAATCACCCCCGTTCTTACCCGGCTTCACTGGCTCCCCATCCCTCAGAGAATCAAGCACAAAACCCTCCTCACCTTCAAAGCACTCCATGGTCTTGCTCCCCCCCCACCATCTCTATGACCTCCTAACCCCACATCAGCCTGTCCGCTCCCTCCGCTTATCGGACACTGGCCTGCTTCAGGTCCCCCGCACTTCCTGCCCCACCATTACTGGTCAGGCATTCAGCATCTCTGCCCCCATGCTCTGGAACTCTATTCTACAATCCCTCCATCTCACTCCCTCTCTTGCCTCCTTCAAGTCCCATTTAAAGACCTTCCTCTTCGACAGCGCCTTCGGCCACCCTCACACCCTCACCCCACCCTGCCCTCCAACCCTCCTGACCTCAACCAGCTCAGGTCCCAAAACTCCTGGTTGTCCTGCGCCATGGGATATCTCTGCGACGTGTAGGGCGCTATACAAGTATCATTTGTTGTCCTAGCTGGACAAGCAGAGGGAAAGCTTGCCAGACAGTGCCATCAATGGCAGTTATGTTGTTTTAGCTGGTTAGACTGCAGCAGTTCCCCCAACGCACACTCTGGGGTTTCCCCAAGCCTTGGTTCTTGCCAAACTGTGCCTAATACTCTCTGGAATTAGGTAAGCGGGATGCCTCCCTCCAGGGAGAGAGAGAGCACATTCCATTCCAACAATCTATTTCTGGAATTTCCATGTGTAGGTGGGATGCATTGAATTACTCAGTTTAGTTGGGATACTATTAAGCATCGGTGATGGGTTTCTGTGTGTATCAGACACCCGGCTGCAAATCAATAGTTCAGAAATAGTATGTCAATGATGTAACATTAAGTTTGTCAAACTTCTGTGCAATAGGGACCGTGAGAGGATTGTAACCTGACTTGTGGTTGTTCACACTGAAAGTTTTTCATACGATGTAGAGGTTGAGTGGGAACTAATAGTGAGTGAGTGCGTGAGTGAGTGCGTGCGTGCGTGCTCCAAACATATGTCACGCTTTTCATTTATAGTCTTTGATAATGAGAGTTGAAATGACAATTAACTTTTACTGGCCTGTCTCCTTACATTATTTCTTCCTTGCCACACATCCAGTCCCTGTTCAGCAGGGACTCCCAAGGTTCTACCCCGCATGAAGGGCGCTATATAATAATAATAATTAATAATCCTTGCATTTGATACAGCGCCTTATCACGTCTTCAAGACATCTCAAAGCGCTTCACAGAATACACCGTAAAGTGAATTGACTGTATATGTTGTGGGCGGAACGCGGCAGCCAATTGCGCACAGGGGCGTCCCACAAACAGTCGTGGATTGAAGGACCAAGTTTTTTTTTTTTTTTTTGAATGGATTATTACCTCCAGGAAAATCGATCCTTCAAGCGACTAACAACCGGGTTCCTACTTACTGCTAGATAAACAGAGGCGTGTGTGTGGAGCAAGGAAACTTGCCCAACGTTTCGCCCTGCCCGTGAATCGAACCCAGGTCTCTCGCTTGCGAGGCGAGCGCTCTAACCACTGAGCTACAGGACTCCACAAGTTGTTGTTGGTGGCGGTGGATGCAGAAGAAGAGCTCTATGACAGTCAGAGAGCAGATGATCTCCCCGGCTGTTTTCACGTTGACAGAAACATTCACCGGCTCATAATATATCAGAATCCCGTGGTGAATCTCCCGTGAATCTCACGCAGTGAATAATGGATAGTGGGAAGTGATTAGAGGCCGCAGTAAACTGGGAGACATAAACTATGCCACAAGAGATGAACTTTGCATCTTATATGTCAATCAAACCTCCAGATAAGATTACAACATTACAATGACTCTGTGTGGGTATCTGTTGTATTTTATGATGTGCGATGTGCAATTTATTGGATGGCATTATTCAGTGTCGGATCACTGTGCAGGACTCCCAAATCGCAAGGTGCTGAGATACAATTTGAATGATTAATAATTGCAATATAATCGCTCGCTGTAAATGTATCCAGCAATAATTAGGAGGAGGATTACCATAGGGTTCTGTAGATGGTATAGAGTGTACACAGATACTTGCTCTCTAGTTTAGATTGAAATCAAAGATGCACTCACTCTGCACATGCCGCCCGTGTACTCACCCGAACTAAACTCTGTCCATCCCCCATCACACCAGTTCTAACCGGGCTCCACTTGCTCCTATCGACGAATGGATCGATTTCAAGACCCTCACCCCTGTTTTCCAAGCCCTTCATGTGCTCTCTCTTCAACCTGCTTAATCCCCAGCTTCCTGCTTGCCCCTCGTGCCCTCTGCTGTAGTATCGGTGATCGCTCTTTCAGCCACTACGCCCTGGAACACTCTTCCTCTA